ATGTATATGTATATGTATATGTATATGTATATGTATATGTATATGTATATGTATATGTATATGTATATATGTATACATGGCTAGCTGATGAGAGCTAAATAGCTTGAAATAGATCTATACTAGTCTCCCTTTATTTATTTATCAGCACAAATGCATATATATATATAATATTAATGCAGAATTAAATAACTCAGAGAGTAATTAATTAATCAATTAATTAATCCAGAGCTATCTGAACTAATTCAGAGCTTTCATCTAGAGCTCCAGATATAGTCCATTCCAGTAGAAATCCCAACTAGCTGATATAATTTAAGGTCTAGATTTGGAGCAGGACCTGAGAGCTGTGCTCCTATTTTGAGAAACAAATTGGCTGTAATTCTGTTAATTATTTCCAGGAGAAGCCAGGACAGGTCAGTAAATGAGAGTTTGATGGGAGAAGATAGAACAAGCCACAAATCAGTTAGGGTAGAGATGGTTAACTAATGTCAACTTGAGGGTCACACTAGGCTTTGATGAAATGCCAATCCTAGAAGAAGGGAGTGACCATGACATTTACTTTGGTGGATTTTTGTGTTCTTTTTAAGTGTGTGTGTATGTCTCTCTCTGTGTGTGTATGTGTGTGTGAAAGCAGCCACATTAAAAAAAATACATTTGTGTCAAATCTCAGGCGAATAGCAGCCTGTCTTAGAGCATGAGCCTGATGGGCATTTGCCCGTGGCCCCCCACGAGTATAGGGGCCCCATACTAATCTGTGTATGTTAACCCTTCAATTCCCCTTGCATTCTATAAATTCAGCAACTGTATGGCTTACTGTGTATTTCAAGCCTCGTGTACTGTGAAATGTTTATCACGTTGATTAGTTGTTGCTGCTAAAGCATGTTCTTAATGTTGCAACACCGATTTTGTTGGAAGTGCCAATCAAATAAATATATGTTTAATTTTATCGACCCTTTATATTTATATTCCTGTGAGTGGTTGTCGTAGGAGCCCCAGTATACTGCTTTGCTCGGGACCCATAATGCTGTTAAGATGTCCCTGGCGAATAGCTAAGTCCAGTGTTTCTCAACCTTGGCAACTTGAAGATGTCTGGACTTCAACTCCCAGAATTCCCCAGCCAGCATTCGCTGGCTGGGGAATTCTGGGANAAACAAGATGTGCTTCCTGTGGTTGGAGACTAGAGTGTTAGAAATATTTAAAAAGGAGAACAAAGTTGGATTGTATAGCCTAGAAAAAGAAGCAGAAGAACGATCTGTCTGCCAGTCCAATAATTTAATTGCTAATAGTCTTCAAATCACCAAAATGATACTTTGATACATGGCCATTACCAGATAAAATATACAGAGATTGACTGTATTACTGATGCAACAAGATGGAAAAATCTCATTCATAACAGCAAAGATGGGGCGAGGAGCTGACTGTATATCAGATTATGAACTGCCCATGTGCAAATTCCAAATCAAGATAAAGTGGAAGAAGTAAGCCAACTACAGTTTCCATGTTACAGTCTTGAGCAAATGCTATTTTTAAGGAGAACATCAAGAATCACTCTGAAATCTTGAAACACATGGATAGCAGAGGAGCCATGGGATGAAATCAAAATGTTAAAGGTGAATGTGGAAATAGATCACCAAAGATCAAAAACAAGAAAAAAACTAAACTGGGTGTAAAAACAAAGGGTGGAAATTGCCAAGGAAAAAAGAGAAGCCAAAGCTGAGAGAAATAAATACCTCAGGGAGGAACATAACAACGAATAACCTTACAAAAGCCGAGAAGTAATATTTCATTGCAAAGACATTGAAGATGGAAGCAGACACAGAAAAACAAGGAAAACCTATATATAGGTATATATCCAAACTCAGAAGGAGCATCCAACATCAGATTGGTGCATTAATGGATCCCAATGGACTGACAGTAGTAATTGATTCAAACCAAGATGGAAGGAATATATTGAATTCTGGGGAATAGAGAACTCATAATCCCATTTGGAGACAGGCAACGAAGTATCTTCTTTAGCACGTAGAGCAACAGGACTACAGGAATGACTACACTTTCAACCAAAATAATGCAAGGGCACCAAAGTTACTAAAGTCATGGATTATATACAGTAACTCCAGAAATATTGATAAATGATAAAGGAAAGTCTTTAAATAATACTATGAATTTTTCAGGCAGGCAGAATGTAACATCTGATATGTGTTGGCCTTACTAGGGCTACTCCAACACTTTAGATTAGTGACTATAGATCAGTGGCCCTCAGCCTTTTGGGCACCAGTGACTGGTTCTGTGGAGAAAGGTTTTTCTGTGGACCGGAAGGGACGTGATTTCATGAGCTGCCTGCATCCCATGGATGAAGTTTCGCTTTTTTTGTGCAGCCCGTTTTCTGCCATGCTGTGGCCCAGTGNATTGTGACTGTTGTATATTTTAATATGTTGTCTTGTGTATTATCCCCTTCCCTTGTTTTATTGGAAGCCGCCCGTAGTCCTTCAGGAGTGGGCGGCATACAAGCTCAATAAAACGAAACGAATACGTCTCCGTGGTCATGGGGCTGCAGAGGTGGGTTGCTCCCGGTTCGGCCCGGATCAGCCAAACCGGTAGTGGCAGCGGCAGGAGGCTTCACCCACCTGCCCCAACGCTTCTGCACATGCGCAGGGATTTGAAACCCACCTCTATGTGGCGGGTGTGACTAAACGCTGAAGGCGCATGGAACGCTGTTACCTTCCCACCAAAGGTGGTTCCTATTTTTCTACTTGCATTTTTACATGCTTTCAAACTGCTAGGTTGGCAGAAGCTGGGACAAGTCACGGGGAGCTCACTCCGTTAACACGGTGCTAGGATTCGAACCTTCTGATCGACAAGCTCAGTGTCTTAGTCACTGAGCCACTGTGTCCCTCTAAATATTATAGGTACCTATAAATAAAGAAGATCTAGACTCAATTCTCCCAAAAATAAAAAGCATCCTAAATGCTCGCTATAATGTCCCCTTCAGAAGTAGGAAGAAGTGAACAAGGGCAAAAGCCTTGGGACTTCTTCAAAACCGTTAAACAGATGTTCTCCACCCTCAATCTTTGCAGCTCTCTCCTCCTTTGCTATGAAATTATGTATTTATATCCTATCTTATCTCCATTACAAATGGGAAACACGGCCACTGTAGGAGGAGTGGCAGAACCTGCGGATGGAGTTAAAAGAGGGATCAGTCCAGAATCCCTACATAGCCACAAGGAAACTAAATTCAGCCAGCCTTGAATTCCGTTGACCCTTATTTAACTCCAAGCCACCGCTAACTTTAGTTGAGAAGATTCCTGTGCCTAGGCATGAGTAGCAACACGTCAGTATTGACTGGATCTTCCCACGTGGACTTGTTCTTTCACACCTGACAATCCCAGACCTGAAAAAGGAATGTGTTTCGGTACAGGCATTTCTCAACTCCTCCTTCTCCTGTTCACGGGAAACCTCATGCATGCCTCCATAAGGACTTGGGCTAGGAAGGCAATTTTGAAGAACGGGCGGCAAAGATTCACCTTCCTGCGCCTGCGGTTGGGCGCAGAAGTGTCGCTGCTCACACTCTCTCGGTGGTTCAGGTGGGAAAAAGGACGAGCTGCTCCCCAAGATTCCAGGTATCGTGACATCCGTACAGAGGCCCTCATCTTCAAGCCATCCTGCACTCTGGATTGAGGGAAATGATTGTTGGTGGCACGCTGTTTTGACTAATGAGAGAGAGAGAGAGAGAGAGAGAAAAGAGAGAGAGAGACGAGAGAAGAGAGAAGAGAAAGAGAGAGAGAGAGAGAATATAAATAAATAATTACGTAC